CCACCACAGCGGAGAAATTGAGTCACTGGCAAAATTGTGCTCTCGCTTTTGCTGTCGGGCAGCTGACACTGTTTTTTTCATTTTCCTGCACTTTCGCAACGGGGGGATTCTCCCATTAAGTAGGTTGCCTGGCCTTTACTGTAGCTTTTGCATATGCGGCATACGCGCATGTGAGACGCGTCCCCGCAAGGAGGGCGTTACTCTCGGCTCAGGAGAAAAGAGAGGCAAAAGAATTTGCCCCTTTCAGCTTCTTTAAAGTCAATGGCATCATTCTTATGCACGCCTTCTCTTGTTGCAGGGCCAGCAGCGGTGCTTGGAAGCGTCGCTTTGGTGTCATGCAAAGAAAAAAAGGAAGCTTCGTCTCACTGAGGCTCAGAGATGTATATTAACGGAATCTTCCTACAGCACGCGTTGCCGGAAGCAAATAGCAGGCCTTCAGATTGAAAAGAGTAAACGGGGCAGTGCTGAAAATGCGGATCTCGCGTTTTGCCTGGTGGCCAAGGTACAGTGCAAAAGCTGACTGTGCAGGCGCGTGATCGGCGCTTCTCCACGCCGCCGTGGTACATCAGAAGTTGATCGTCTGCAGCTTTGAATTTGCTTAGCCCTAACAAAAGGGTTGTCTGTATGTGCCTAAACTAAGTGTTCGAATCACGGAAGTCCTTTGGTGTCCTCGTGTATGGATCGTCAGCGGCATTCCCAATTCTAGTACATCGCAGTGTGTTACACATAGTACGCTGTCTCACATGGCAGCCGTGAGAGACGCTGCGTGTTGTACAGGGAAGCTTTGCCTCTGGCTTTTTACGTGGATGCTGCCACAACACCGGTTCTTTGCGACATTGCGTATTTCAGCCGTACTGTACTGTGGACTGTTGAAAAGGTTTGCCTACTTTTCTCATGAGTGAGCCTGTCTCCAATCTAGCAAGCTCCTGTAAGTTTCGTTGCATTGTTTGTGCGCTACCGAAGATAGTAAATGCCGCGAACTCCCTAAACACAGTTCTCCCCATTGGGCCTGAAACCTTGCTACTTACGGAATTAATGCCACAAGACGGGGTCACGAGCATAACGTGCTATATCTATCTATCTGGCTAGTGCAAACCGGTCAGACTTTCTTGCCTTGTTCTGGAGCCAGAGCACATAACTTCGGTTTTCCCGCTCGAAGCATCTATCTATCTATCTATCTATCTATCTATCTATTTATCTATATATTTATCTATCTATCTATCTATCTATCCACCTATCTATCTATCTATCTATCTATCTATCTATCTCGAGCCTCGCTAGGTAATTGCTGAGCTTTCGAAGTGGTCAACACTTAATGGCTTCTCGATTTTATTATAAATGCGACAGCGTCGCCTGCTCGCAGGAAACACTCCACCAATTATTTGCTGAGGCCTGTGGCACACACTGTGTTGGTTTACTGACTTTTAGCTTTCGGGATGACTAATGGTTAACAATCGCAAATAGAAGACAATTGTGTACTATCGGCACCTCAAAGGGATACCGTCAGCATGAGAATGCCTAGCCTTGATGTAGTTCAGCTCTGAATAGGGGGAAAAGCATCTTCTTTATCTCTGACAAGTATCTATGAGTTAGGAGCATCTACTTGACAATAAAACTAACACTTGCAATCCGCCAAAAGCTCTGTCGTAGGTAAGCCGACGGCGATTAATGTTATGGGGGGAGAGTAGCCGCCGCCATAGCCCAAAATAAATATAACTGTTTCTGTCTCCATTGAATGTTTCAGTGAAGCTGTGGTAACGCATGAAGCAGTCAGCAAGCAGTTCGATGGTGATCGCCGCAGTTATTGGCTCTGTTGCTAGGGTGCAGCAGACCCTACTGAGTAGTGATGGGTAAGAAACTCTGTAGCTAGAACACGACAAACACGTAGGCGTTAAATGCCAAGCTATGTCTAGCTCGCCAGATTGATAAGCTTGAACATGCTCGTGAAGCAGCCAAGAACAGAAAAAGCCCCTACAGTGGAACACGGGTGATCCAAATTTGCACATGCCTGCCGCACTTAATTCTCGCCTTGAATGGTTGACACTTTTACTGTGACCATGCTTACAGGTTTGTTTGGTTTGGGATAGGTGTAAGAGTACTTTGCGGCATCAGCTGTGCCCTGTAGGGTCTTGCTGCACATTTAGCCAGCCACCTTTACATTTGACACTTTTGACTGTGCTCATGGTTAAGGGTTGGTTTGGTTTGGGATAGGTGTAAGAGTGTTTTACAGCGTTAGCTGGGCCTGCAGAGTCTTTTGCATATATAGCCAGCCACCTTTTCTTTCGATGTCGCCGGTGCTCATTATTCTTTGGTCACACTGCTTATCACTCCCGTAGGTTCCCAGCAGATTAAGCTGGCAGCATTGCGCTACATTATGCCATACAGGTCAATCCATTCCCAATATTAGACTGTAGAGGACAGCTTCTATATGGAAGTTTGGTGGAAAACACTCACGGCAGCTTGTCCTGTAACTGAGCCGCAAGAGCGCGAATCCGCTATTTAAGCAACGGTAAACTCACAAGCGGTGGGAAACCTTTGCTCTCTAAACTACATTCGCTCCACAGTAGCCTGGTTGTTAAAGCTGAGCAGTGCAACACTGTCCAAAAGCAGTACACAGGTGTAGCAGTTAACCTTGAAACAGATAGATTCCCTCATCACTTAGAAGCACAGCATAAGTTAGCACTATTTAGCTTTTCACACAAAACCTTGCGCCACCACTGACTTACGCAGTGCTTTTCGCGCAAGGCCAAGCCGAAAACTTGACGTTACCCTTTATTTCGACATCATTTTCCAGCTTATAACCAACTAATTCTAGTTGCTGGCACCTGGAAAATCCCCGTTGTGAGGTGCAGAGAGTCCCAGGCAACTTGTGTTTTCCATCGCGTGTAGCTGTAGCTGCTGTCTCCAATGAGGAAAGGCTCCTATTTACAACTGCGCACATCAGCCTTCTACCATGTTTCTGATATCTGCTGCTTTCGTCTGCCTCAATGCTTGGGTTCGCTCGTGTAGGCGTGTAGTACCATTCTTACGAGATGTGTCTGGCGGGGCTCTGCTCCGGGTTTGGTATGTCCAGGGCAGTCTATCGCGTAGTGCCCCGTCCCGCCACACCTCTTAAGCCCTACTTCTACTCTTCTTGTCCGTTTCATTCTAGGTATACACTGTGTCGGCCCATGGTGTCTTCACGTACAGCCACACCACTCATCTGCTTCCCTCTTTAGCTAACTCGTTTTTTCTTCAACACATGCTCCAAACCTCCGCTGTTGAGCTCTGCCAACAATTGCGGCGGCCCGGATAGCGCGAGCCCGTTCAGTTTCCACTTTATGTGCAGTGAGGGACGGCAAACGCGGGCCAGGAATCGCTTGCTGCCAACTATAACGCTGTTTTTACCGTCTTCCCTTTAGTAATTGCTGTGCCTAAATTCCCACGGAGCTCCACACCGTAGAGTTTCTCCGCCCCCTTCTTTCCCATAGTTGCCCCAGCTTCCAGTATATCTGTGAACAAAGAGGGATGCTCCTCGTTGCCCGGAATCGCTGTTGGGAATTCCTAGTTATCAAAATTTGTCGGCTTTGGCGCCACAGCAAACACAGATCCCCCCAGGGCTCATACACTAAACGTTTAAGCGCTTCATTTTCTAATCGAGAGAAGAAAGCTCTGCAAAACTACTAGAAGGGAGCCTTGGCGTCTCTGGAGCGCCTAACCCCGACGCGTGCAAGACCAGTTTAGCGCGAGCCCCCAAGCAGGGTTTAGCGGCTAACTTTGTGAAATATAGGCACCTTCAGAATCCCATATTTCCTAATTAATCTACGTCATTAGTGCTAGTGCATATTTTCAGTCGCTTCTTAATGCCTTTTGGTGACGCAGCCATCGAGCCTGGCGCAGCACAGCGTGCTGGAGACAAAAGTAGAGTTCCCTATCGAAAGGCCATCGGCAGACCCAGTTCCCTGTAAGCTCATCATCTTTTTGTGTTTTAAGAAGAAATAATGAGCTTCAGAGGCAAGTTGGAAATAGTCGTGAAGGCAGAATGAACCATACAGCGTACAGCTCGGGCTGTCGAACCTAGGGAGCTTGTGATAGGTACATATACTGTTACGGTACTCATCTTGCATTTGCAAAGCTCAAGTGTGCTTATTGAAAATTATTTCATGCCAGATCTAGACCATTTGGGCTTGGCCTTTGGTTTAGCCTGCTGCAAATGTGTGCTGTTATGTCGCTCACTTGCATGTGTTTTTATCGCTCCATTGAGTTGGTTACCTTGTTTAAGGCTAGGATGTGTCACGCATTACAGGAGAAATACCAGGTTTTATTATTTATCATTGTAAAACTAAGGTTTTCTTGAGTTTTTGCATACATCTATTTTCTGCTGCTTTGGAGCTTCTGCTGCAGTCTTTATCTGGTACTTTGCCGAAGACAAGCGCCCCACCTTACGCTGTCCCCAAACTCGGTGCTATTTTGAAGATGGAAAAAAGATATTCATTTTCAATTTTCCCGTAAATTGTCTCCAGAACATTCAATTTTTACTTTTCTTGTGTTGTTAATTTGTTGTTGGCCCCGAGCTCGCCGGCTTAGCTCGTGCTGTCTCTGTCACCTGTGGAAATTGCACATTCCACCCTCAGCAATGCAGGCCTGCAATGATTCCACATCGCGGGAAAACGACACTGTCAAACATTTCGTTCCTAAGGATGAGCCGTGGCGTGGCAGCTTGCGGAAACACGTTGGCGGGTGTGCTCCCATGCTAGCTTTGGTTCTACTCGGCGTGAGTGTCGTGGCGTTGCTCGTCGCTCGCTGCGCACTTCATTTGAAAAAATCCGGAAATTCGACTACGTTTTTGAGGAGGCTAGCTGAAGAAGTGAGATGCAGAGCATTTACTGCGCACGCCAGCTCGCTCCTCAAAAGCCAAACCGTCCCACAGGAGATTTCTATGCCTCTTTTGCGGGAGAAACGGCCGCGTGCTGCAAGTGTTCCCCTGAAAGCTCGGAGAATCACTGCACAGTGCTACCTCCATGGCCTACTCTGTTTGCGTGGTTCTTCGCAGCATTGGCATTGTCCAGGTGGACCTTCCAGAGCTGCGCCGGCTGGGCAAGACCCACCACGCGGTTCGCCTCCTCCGTATGAAGAAGGAAGTTGGCCAAGCACTTCAGGAGTTTCGCATGACGGAGCACGCCGCGCGTATTCACTGGGTGACATTCTTGGGGCCAGCCCGAGCGAAGCCATTGGCCCGGCTTCAAGGGCAGCAACTGTATCGATGCTGACGCTTACAGCTGTAGACAGTTCTGCTCCTCACTCCCACAGGCACGGAGAACCGAGACATCGTGAACAGTTATTCTCTTTTCCACGCATCAGTGACTCAAAGGTACCTTTTTTCATGCCTATACACAAAAAGAAGTTGCCAGTTAGCCTCATTTGCAGTTATACCCTTATGCTGCCCGATGAGGCTGAGCAGATTCCGCTGTCGATTCCCCGAAATTTTGTTACAGAGAAATGCGCCCCATAAATAACCTGAGGATAGCTTTTGTGGTTTGCAGGTGGTAGATAAGCTGAACGAGGTCTTGCTGTTTCTTAAAAATCTATCAAGAATTCACTTACGGCACCGGAAAAGTAAGAGTTGCAAACGAGCACCGTTGGTGATACAATGCGCCTATTATCCGACGAAAAACGCTTTTTAACCCGAAGCGTACTCCTTTCTTCCTTTGTCCTGACTGAAAATTGTGTCAGACACGGTTTGCTTGGGCCAAAAACTTTCTCTTTATTCGCCTTTCACTCTGTTGAATTTGCTGAAATACTCCGCCCGCTTGAAAAAGACGCCGAAATCGTGGTGTAAAAAGTAAAAGCTAGTGTGGAACAATCATGCAAAATATGTTCTTTTAACTCCGTTGCGATCTGGGCTTTACAGCGCAATTTGAAACCGTCTTTTGTGGCGTCCTGGTGGAGATTAAGGTCGAAGAAAAGGTGAGATAAGTGCGTGTAAATCTCAGGATGATGAAGTAAGTTCAACTAGTGAGGATTTAGCAGTTCGCCCCAACTTGGACTGTTTCTGCTTGCACTTTTGTGTTCTTGCGCAGCGCTCCTCGCTGGGCTGGCCACGGAAAGCAGTAAGACAAATCTCATGAACAGTTCGCGCGAGCTAAATTCAGAATTCTTACTATTCCAGTTGTTTATTGTTCTGTCCTTTCGCAGCTGCTAACACCACAGCTGCACGAACGTTGCCTTATTTGTACTGTGAGCTTCGCCTGCAGGACGTGCAAAAGATTGCGCTGGACTTGGAAAGCAGCGTTCTTGGCTTAGTCTCCAAACTTGCAGCGAATCGGTGTACGACAAGTTGCCTGAATCGTCATTTTTTGCCACTTGTGAAAGTCGTATACTGGATTTTGACCCTGTAAAATTCTTCAGTTTAAGCAAGTTCCCAAAGCAAGGCGATGCCTCGCCGCTGGATCTTGTGAGGCGTCCTGACGACTTTTACGTTCGTTGCACCACACGTTGCACTCTGCTTTCCTTTTGTGGGTATGCAGCATATGGCCGCTGTGAAAGCACTATCACCAGCCGACGCACAAAAAGGAATAAAACACGTACAGAGGTGTTGATTACTATTGTCGGTAAGCCCTACCTTACTATTTAACACATCTGGAGCAGAATGGAATCTGTTCAGGCCACATAAACTGAGTATACAGAAGTAAAATTTTACGTGGGAAAGGGAGATTTGTACAACTGGGCTGTAGAAATAGCGAAGATTCAGACATCTTCCCTTGAACTAGAGGGTCCAAAGCTGTATCATCTTGCTTTGCTTCGACGACTTATGTAAAGATTTCATGTTTGTGCACTCCTTGCAGCATCCCTTCCACCTCTATATACCGCAGCTCCTTAGGCTTCCGGCGTCCTGGTTCAGAACAAAGAAACGAACCCAACAAATCTACGGGTACCGTAGAGTGATATTTTTATGGAAGTTCGTGCACAATATGCATTACCGAAGATGCACTTCGTTTTGATGTATCATCTGCCTGCAAGTGGTGGTAAATGCCCCGCAGCTCCTAGAACTTAGTTCTACCAGGTAGCCGCTACTACATTCTGCGAGGTATCTACACAGTTCAGTGGGAAGATGTCGTGAAGATAGTTTTGTACAGGGACTTGTTTTCCGTAGGTTTTGAGCAAAACTTGCCAGCATATCTCCCCTTCTTCATGCCATTCCAAGCGTGTGCAAACTCCGCAGTTTGCCGTTTTGTTTGTCCCGTGCATCCATATGCACGGTTGGCTGAGCCCTGCTTCAGCGCATAATCCAGCAGCACCTGGCTTGATGGCGAAGATTAGAATGGCCTGCAAATGCAAGCTTTGTTTGGCTATGCAGGGCTGCATGTGAAGCCCTGGCTGTTGCCTTAGTAGCAGTTCACTGTATTTCCGTTTGCATTTTTTAGTGTGCATGCCCGGGGCAGCAATCAGCAAAAACCTACGCTCATTTTTTTCCTGGAGCTGCTGCGGCTGCTGATGCAAAGGCGCCATCTCAGTCGAGACAGTTCCAATACAAGTGGCGTTTTTCTTATCGAAATACCACTGCAAAATTTGTCTCCTGGTCAGCTCCCCACAATCATCTTCTGTATTTAAAAGTCTCCACTCCCCTATCGTAGCAAAAAATTAGAGGCTAAACCATAAAGCTCAATCGCAAGGCTCCAAAGGATGAATAGCTGGAAATCGTTTGCCACACCTTGAATCGCCGCCCGCAAGCATTGTGCTCAGCGGCCTTCGCGCAAATAAGGCCTCCTGGTGAGCAAATGCAAAACAACGCTACGGCCTCTTACTATGCACAGTCAAGCAGCCGGATATAGCCGGATTCGTAGTATGTCAGGTAAACCTGCTATCAGCCTGCAAGGTAAAGCGAACATCAACGAAAAGACTTCTAGGTGCCTAGCTTAGCCTGCTGCTTACCGTGGTATTGCAGTGTTCGGTTGTAAAATTTTCTCCGATATATATTGCCTCGTTGCAGAAAGTGTTGGCTTTCCAGCGGAGAGGCTTCCTAAATGACACAAAACTACTTATTGATTCCCTGTGGGAGTTGCAAAAAAGTGCACATTATTTTTGCAAAGATAGGTCAAGACAGGGTTCTATACATCCCGTGTCCTGTGCAGAAAAAACAGACATCATGTTTACAAGAAGGAATTGGAAGCAGACTGAAGACGCTCCGTTTCCCGTGTACGGCTGTCGCTTTACTGCAGGCCAAGTGTTTGATGGCCAAGCGTTTGATGGACAAGCGTTTGATGAAATGCGATAAGATTAAGGCAGTGAACGACGCCTTGAGTAGTAATTATACATATTTTTTCAAACCACTAGATGTGGGAGCCACTGAAAGCATCAGGGGAAGAGTTTTTCAATTCCTTAACGTGAATTGAAAAACTCTGGTTTTTTTACCAGGGGTGACGAATGCAACTTCACTCCTCTTATTTGTACATTATAAACGTATGTATATTCATGTATGCATACCACGTGTATATATTTTCTGTTTCCTGGGCGTCTATCACTTTGCCCACGTAGCTAACAACATTCCTGCCGAGGGGGCCCATGACGTGCTAAAGCAAAAACGCGTATGCCCAAAAACCACTTACAGAAGCTAGATAGTACTCGCAAGCCAACGTTTCGATATGCGCCAATTCTTGATGCTGTAAGCATGTCGGATACTCGTGAGGTGCCTATGTAAGCCTGCCTTCGCATGGAGACTGTGGGGAGCTGTGGTTCCTTGAACCATTATAAGTTGAAAGATGCGCGGGTTTCAGGCGATGCTTTTAGTCATTCTGCAAGCTTATGTAATCGCTGCAGCGAGTCATGTGGGGCAAGCTTTACACAGTGAATGCCGCATGGGGGGAGCTTGCAATTTAGTGTGTAAGAATCACGCTTTGCAAGCTGTTGTGCTACGTCGCGACACTGAAGTTCAAGTGTATTGAACGTGCTTATTGCGTAGCCTGAAATAAACATCCATAGTAATGATTATTTTACGGTTAACCTCTTGTGAGGTGATGCGCTCTATATAGCGGCGCGGCCTGTCAGGGTCTTAGGCTCCACTAAATGGAGCATTGAGGGATATTTTTAACTGCTTTCAAGGTTTATTACGAGAAAGACTGAGCAGAGTTTAGCCAGCGCCGAGGGTGCCTCACTGAGCAACACGAGACGAGGGATGGTGACACCAGTACTGCAATCTAGATAGCCTTCAAAGCTAACCACTGCCGCTTACACGACTTCATGCACTATATTCATGCCTTTCATAAACGCTTTTGTTTCGATTTTGAGGCAGAAGGGTAGCCGCCACTATAGCGACCCTAGCCTACACGAATTTCGCAAGCATACCAACTCGGTCTATCGTGCTTGTTCGGGCCTTGAGCTCATGTAGCAATTCACCGAAGCCATGGCGTCGTTAAAAATGGGCCAGAAGTCATTCAAATTTTTGCACTTCTAAAGAAGTTGTTTTTTGCATCACTGCTAGCCTTCCTTGTCTTCACCTTGCGCACTGTGGGAGTTTCGTACCTCTGTGCCCGCCCAACAAACGGACCTTGTAGGCCTCTAAATTGTATGACGGGCTTTCCTGTAGGCAAAGTTGCTCACGTTCCTAGCGATAATATTCGCAACCCACAACCGCAAAGTTCAAACAATCTCTTTGCTACGAGCTAGTTGCAGGCCTTCACTGTTTCGAAGGGGAACAGGTGATTGTTCGGGGCTACGAAACATGCAGTTATCTCCCTTTCGCACTGATGGCGTGGTGCATGCGACGCCACTTCCTATTTACGCAGGCGCAGATCAGGTAGTACTGGAGCTCGGGACTAAATACATACAAGGCGTGTGGAAAATGTGAGCTTGAACTGCATTAGAAAACATGCACGCACCGATGCTACAGAGGCACAGAGACCAGCGAAAATGGCTGGTGCATCAGCACGGTAATTCGTATACGAGAGCCAAATATGAGCAGATGCCGTCAGATGTACAAGCTGGCTTGTACGCAAATTCCCCTGCAAGCCCGCAGGCATGAGAAGAAGGCAGGCATACTGCAAAGACAACTTTGTGTAGCAGGAACTCGAAAGCATGCGCTGCAGAACTCGCATCGCTGTTCATCGTGATGAAACCGCCATTATAATCACTTGAAGCGACTATTTTGAAAACAGCTCTGATCCAGCCATCAACCTACGTAATAAGCAAGCACAGGTATCAGGCATTGTTTTGAATTAAGAAAACAGACCTCTTCTCCACCGAAACTACCTGAAATGAACACAACTGAACTACCCCACATTATTTTAAAGACATCCTGTACGGTTACGTGAAGGCTTTGGCTCCTTCATTCGGGATAGAATGTACGTCAAAAGGCTTAGCAGCTTGTAGCAATAAGCTTTTTGTTTAGCCTCAGTAAATGGCGGTAGACAAAACGCAGGCAGAAGCTGTGCGGAAAGCATATTCGTTATTGTTTATATATACACTATAGTTATTTTATATATAGACATTACTTCATCGTACACTCTCCGTCAATTATTCGCCTCAGGGAAGTCGCAGCAGCCGGTTGCTGCGCTCGAATTATTGCATATCCCCACTGTGTGATGCACTAAAATCGGGTCCTGAGTTAAAGAAACGTCAGGTGAGGCGTGGCAGATAGTCCAAAAGATCACGTTTTGCCTAGAGCCCCCAGCAGGGCAGAATGGCCCTTGCTGCAAAGCCAGCACCTGGTCATTTGCAGTGGCCCAAGAGCAATAAAAATCAATAGCATCCATTTCCACGAGTGCTAAAAGCGTGCAACATAGTACATTTATACGGTAGCGATTCAAAGCACGCACTGCAGAAAATAGCTTGCAGGATGTCTGCATGAAAGAAGAATGCAGATGCCTGCATGAAAGAAGAATGCATAAAAGCTATAGGAACCTATGCTTGGGTCGCACTTGCAGAGTCCAGTTCTCTGCATCAACTGCATGGAAACACTGTGGAAGCAAATGGCGCAGCCACGAACGACAAAATGAAATGCATGAAGTCGTTATCCGATTACGTCGGTCAGCCAAAACGGCAGCAGATTTCTTCATGAGAAAAGCTAGATCATCTATGACCAGCAACTTCTTGTTTCCACCAAAACCTCAGCACTTCGTCTTGCTCTACGTTGGTTGGCACTCCTGGTGAACTGCAAGCAGTTGACTACTGCTGCAGTCCTATTCTTCACGCTGTACTTAACCGTTGTAGGGGGGAGGGAGCAACGCTGCAGAAAGTTCCGATAAACAAAGCAGCGCAGCTTCGCAGTAAACAGTCTGTTAAACTTAGTATCTTGCTGCTCGAAGAAAATGCACTCAAATTTCCCATCACCTGCCCTATTCCACATGCTCTTCTTATAGGGTATATGAATTGCAATATTCTTTGGCAGGCTCATTAACTTGTATTATTGGAGCTTTCCATCTGAAATGCAGTCAAGACGAGTAAAATAACACACCCTGCAAATAAAGATCTAGACGAAAGCGTTCAATGTCATCATCGGTCGTCTGCATCTCTATCTTGGCTCCACAACCACGAAGTGCTGCACACATAAAGGACACAGGCAAATAACAGCCAAAGCTGCGTAATGCTGCACATGTAAAGGGCACAGGCAAGCGGAATTGACCAAAGCAACGGCCACGCTGACACTAAAAACAGTTTGCCGCGTCGCAGCAGAGAGGTGCGCAACTTCATAGGAACGCAATTACTTCATGTGAAGCATGTGGGGAACCAACAAAATGCTTCGGCATGGAAAGGGAAGCGGCACATATTCCGCCTTACGTCGTCTCGCCAGAAGTGACTCAAATATGCGCAATACACAAGACTCCAGCTTCCGAGCAAAGCGTTGCAGGCTCTGCAGCCAAGGCGAAAGGGAGAGGAAATGCTGTAACTGATGAGCTAACGAGGCTGTTTGTAAATGTGACAAAAGCGGGAAAACCTGGTTAGTACCCACTAGCGGCATGTATGAGTGTTGGAAAGAGTATTTGCAACACAGATCCCACTCACTTGTGTCCTTGGCCAGGTTGGCTCGGTGTACTGAGCAGGAACACACAGCAGTTCGAACAAAAGATTGGCGGCGAAACAAACCCATACCAATGAAATTCGGCCAAATTTCCCACTAGTGCAGAGCGCTCGTCTGCTCATCTCACCATTTCTTGAGCGGTAAACTCGAACAGGGCAGCGTAAAAAGTTCCTCGAAAACGACCTGTAAATTGCGCATTACACGAAGTCAGCATCAACCAACTATATTAGGTTTGATACGCTTGCGCCTGAATGCCAACTTTTGCAGTTAAGGCGAGCACCGTGACACATCCATGCGCACTGAAAGTTACAAAGGTATCAGGTAGCAGATTGCGTAATCGAAAATCTTTCGAATAGCAGACTTTCAATTCCTTGGCTTATCAGATTAACAAATAGCCAAGAAAAAGAAACTACAGAGTGCACCCATGTTTGCTCCCAAAATTCCATTCTCCAGACTAAACCCATAGCATCAGTTCTTTGCAGCCCTCACGTGTGCGGAGTGGGTAATGCGGCCTTCCAAGACTTCTGAAGAAGGCCATGACGTCGAACATTGTGTTTTTCATCTGAGGCAAGCACAGCACCGCCAGCATTCAACATCCAGCATATGCAGCTTTCCTAGGATTCGCTACGCAACATACCTGACAAATCTGGACAACGCAAGAAGGACCGGCGGTGAGCCACTGCAAGAGTTTCTGCTTTTTCTGGACGCTGCAGACGTACGCTACGGTCTTCGATGCGTGGAAATTTGTATATTAACTGAATGGGCACTTCGAAAGGGTCGAAACGCGGGGGAACCATTAGGGCACCAGTGCGTGAAAGTGTCAATGCGCTCATATCTGCTGCTGGCGAAGCGCCTCTACTATATCTTGGTTGTGCTCCACGGTACACTGGCTCATTGAAACGTTCGCGAACTGGATAACTTTCAGCGTCCTCCTGACCATCATCCATCATAGCTTCTTCATATGATGGGGGTCTCTCGCAATATGGCGGAACTGGCCTTAGAGGGCCTACGTGCTGCCTGTTCCAGCCCCAGTGAGACGGCAACTAAGAAAAAAAAGCAAACTAACACATGCAGTGAGGAGTCATTCACTCATGAATGCTCATCGAGCAGCGGCGTGGCTTGCGAAGAACTAGGAGAGGTTGCTGCTGCCTCATTAAAGAAACTACATGCGAACTAGTTCTCGGCTGCCGTGTTTTGTATGTGAAACTTTGCGCAGCAAATTTTACAAGATCTCTATTGTCGCACTCGGCCAGCAAGCCTCCTTTGCAAGTTCCCATGGGCTTCGCCGCTTTTAATTGCAAGTGCGCAGTGAACAATTAAGAAGGCAATAACGGCCACGGCTACTCCGGAGGCAAGGAGGCTGAAGCTGGATCTTCGGTTGCTGGCCTTCCGCCTGCTTCGCAGGAAATCCCTTTTTAAGTCAATACTTGGATATGTCAAGTACGTCACCCTGATTTCCGGCTGCTCGCTCTCGTTGGCGGCAAACATTTGTGAAGTGGTGAGTCGCTCGAGGTGGTCCGCAGCAGAAACTTAGCACTGCGAGAGAGCGGCAGCGCCGAGAAAATTCGGGTTTCAAGCCCGTTAATGCTTTGGAATCAAACAAAAGAGCGAACTGGGGACGAGGCGAAAGCCAAGTTCCTCATTTAAATCGAGAGTGCGTCTGCGGATGATAATGTTCGGAAGGTCTGGCCGTCCTGCCCCACAGACAAGGGCATTAAATTGAATTTCCTCTTAAGTGGCATCAAAAATGCCTAAATTCGGCCAATTAACAGATTATGCTGGAGCCGTACGCCTCCAGATGCTTCCATGGTCTCGGCAAGGACGCGCTTGCGAGCGCTCTCAATACTTCCTGCCACGAGTTAATTTGACTTCATGAGATGCTTCTAACTGCAAAGAAAATCTGCCTAAAGTCATTTTTTTTCTTTTCTTTTTAACATTTGAACTTCTGCGCAATTATCTGCCGTTGAGGCCGGAACGTAAAATCCGGAACGATCTGGTCTGAATGTGGTCTCGGTGCGACTGGCCGCTCGATCTGTTTCTTCCAAGTAATTGTTCCCGCAAATTTTTACATTGAAATAAGTACTTAAACGCAAATATTTAAGAACTAAATAACACATTTAATACTGAACTGGCGACTGCGGCGGGCCGGAGGCCCACAGAGCTGCGAAGGCTGGAATGGCACAAAGATAAGCAAGGTGCTCGCTGCATTCTGCACACTCCCAAGACATGAAACGAAACTTGCAGGAACATTGGAATTCCGAAGAACGTTAAATACGGGGAGCACCAGCTGAGGTAACCTAATGCCTCTCCCGTGGCAACGACTTGCGTCGCAGAGGAGGAAGGAGCTAAGGATAAAAGCCAGAAAGACGCGAATTTACTCCAATGAACTGCACGCAAAATGCCGAAGACGCGCGGCCAACGGGCACAGCAAGCCCATCATGACACACCAGAGTCAAATTCAACTTTGACGAGTCCCAGCGCACCAATAGGATGCTGTTTCTCCGCGCGCCGTTTCAGAAATAAACTTCAAGGAGTTTCCGATGTTCGCGGATGCCTCCATTTAAAATGGTCTTCGAGCTCCAGTAATGAACAGTTATTCCCTCTGAAGTCTGAAGTAGACTACTAGGATTCAAATGTGAACACGGCGAGTGGAATGTGCAAAAGTGACCTCCGTTAGAAATGAGCAGCAACTTCGTGACTGCAGCACGAGTGCAGCAAGCCTTCTCTGGAGTTTCCCGCTGCAGCAAAAGTGATGGGAAAGCGCCAGCAGCTCCAAACTGCACAAGGCAGCAGCTAGCTAGCAGCTAGCTAGCTGCAGGCGCCCGCAGCTAGCCACGCTAAACACCTTAAGTACAGCTAACCCTACAGCCTGCGATGCCGTTACTAGCCAGCAGGGAAGCAGCAGCAAGAGATGCAAGTTTCTGCAAAAGCAGCAAGATGACTGCGGGAAGTGTTCAAGAAAAATGAGAAACTAAGTTTGCTTGAGGATACAAACAAAAAGGAAAAGATATGTTCAACGCTGCTCTTCAACAAACGCGCTTTCCTCTTTGCAGAGGGAACTTCAGAATAGGTTTTGTATTTCCAACATCAACTTGAACACGTAGGCTAATCCAGCATTCTGCTGCTGTTGCTGCTGCTGCTGCTGCTGCTGCAGCCCCGTGAGAAAGCGGTTGGTGGAGAGTCTTTCCTGGTGACTCAAGCTGCAACTAAGCAGCTGCAAAGCTACAATAGATCTGGCAGGCCCCCTTTTATAACTGGCGCAGCAGCAGCTGCTGCTGCTGCAGCACCCTGTTGCGTTTCGGCCTGCTGCTGCGCGTCTTCAGGCGCAGCAGCAGGCTCAAGCACGGGCGTTGGGGGGCCGCTGTCACCGTCGAGTTTGAAGAACTGCAGGGCTCCCTCTTTTCCTGCTGCTGCTGCTGCTGCTGCTGCTGCTGGAGTGGGTGCAGCAGCTGAACCGCCTGCTGCTGCTGCTCTTGCGGGCCCTGTGGCCGCTGGAAATGAATTGTCAAGGTCACCTGCTTCCCGCTTCTCTTCTGCTTCTGTCGAGGAAATGCTGGGTGCACAGTTTGCTGCTGCTTTTGCTGCTTCCGTCAAAGCAGGAGCACCTTCAGACCGAGAATATGACCTTTCATCCTCTGAAGAGCAGCAGCAGCAGCAGCAGCAGCACAACAACATCACGCACCTTACGAGGCGAACCCGAAGCCACAGTGGCAGCTCTATCCTTTCAAAATGCAGTGCCGCTGCTGCACCAGCGGCAGCAACTGCAGCAGCAGCTGCAGCAGTTATCACAGCAGCAGCAGCTGCAGCAGCTGCAGCAGCTGCGACGAATCAAGGCAGCAGCTCACGGAGTTTGTGAAGGTATGGGGTAGCTTCCTGCTGCACCTGCGTGTACACCGCAGCAATCTCCCGCAGCGCAGCGCGAGCTGCCTGCTCTGCCTCGTGCTTCTGCACGGCATCTGCTGCAGCAGCAGCAGCAGCAGCAGCGCCGGGTGACCCGTCGCTCTGGTGCTGCTGCTGCTTGTGCCGCAGCATTAGTTGCTGCTGCTGCAGCGCGTCCTGCAGCGTGTCTGCATGCGCCTGCAAGAATGACTGGGATTCTGCAAAGGCCGTATCCAGCCGCTGCAGACCTTTAAGGAATTGTCTGTGCAGCAGATGCAGTTGCTGCTGCTGTTCCTCTTGCTGCAGCTCCAGCTCGGCCTCGTCCAGTCCCTCGGCAGCTCCTTGCTGCTGCTGCTGCTGCTGCTGCAGCAAGTCGAGGCTCCGCATGCACTGCCGCAGCGCTGCTGCCTGCTGCTGCACGCGGTTCTTCTCAAATGCAAAGTGACGGCAAACCAAAGTCTGCAGAGAGTCTGTACACCGCAGAGCCACCAGGAAGCAGCAGCAGCAGCAACATTGACAACAGCAGCAGCGGCAGCAACAGCAGCACTAACAGCAGCAGCAGCAGCTGCTCTTGCTGCAGCAGCCTCTCAATGCCCATCTCGTTAACGCAGAGTGCTGCGTTGGTTGCACGTCCATACAGCTGGCTAGCCAGCAGCAGCCGCAGCAGCAGCAGCAACAACAGCAGCAGCAGCAGCAACAACAGCAGCAGCAGCAGCTTACTTTCGAGCTCCTTCGCGTCGGCGTCTGCAACTGCAGCAGAGACTTCTGTTGCTTCGCCGTGTGCTGCTGCTGCGTCCAGTGCAGCCTGCTGAAACAGCACGAGGCTGTCTTTGGCCATCTTCCACTGCTGCTGCTGCTGCTGCTGCCTCCTTTCCAGCTTCCTGCTGCTGCTCTGCTGCTGCTGCACTTCTCTGTGCAGCTGCTCCTCTGCTGCATGCGCTGCCCGCAACGTGTCTTTCACCTTCGCAATCTGCAGCAGCAGCAGCAGCAGCAGCAGCAGCACAACCAAACTGTAGCAGCAAAACACGAAGCAGCAACAGGCAGTCAGGACCAGCCCCCACAAGCACCGGCAAACACGCCTACGTCAGCAGCGGCAGCAGCAGCAGCAGCAGCAGCAGCAGCAGCAGCAAACCTCGGAAAGACAAGTCTCCAGCTGCCGCTGAAGAGACAGTCGCCTCTCCTCCAGCTGCTGCAGCCGCTGCTGCGCCTCCGATCTCCGCGACTCTAAGGAGACAGCCCGGGACACAAGGCCATCAGCTGAGGCTTCAATGTGCTTCTGCAGCAGCAGCAGCAGCAGCAGCAGCAGCAGCAGCAGCACAGAGCCACGAATAAGAGGGAGGTCGAGCGGCAAGCGGAGCTGCTGCCGCAGCATAAGGGAGAGAGCGTGCAGCAGCAGCAGCAGCTGACCCGCAGCTTGTTGAGGAAAGCATCCGATGCTTGCTGCTGCTGCTTCCAGACAAGCATTTGCTGCTGCTGTTGCTGCTGCAGCAGCTTTATGCCCTCCAGCGCCTCTGCTGCTGCTTTGGGCAGCAGCTCGTGCAGCTGCTCCTTCAGCTTCTGCAGCAGCACTGTTTGCTGCAGCAGCCGGGTGCTCGCCCGCAGCCTCATGTTTTGCGGCACAAAGAGCTTTTCTGCCTGCAGCAGCAGCAGCAGCAGCAGCAGCAGCAGCAGCAGAACTCGCCGTGTGAGGTCGGCAGCCACAGCACAGCTGCGGAGCAGCAGCAGCAGCCACGGCTACTCCGGCAGCAGCGAAAACAGCAGCAGCAGCAACAAAAGCAACTCCAGCAGCAGCAGCAGCAGCAGCGACAGCTTCAGGAGCAGCAGAAGGAACAGCAGCGACAGCAGCAGCAGCAGCAGCAGCAGCAGCAGCAGCAGCTAACATCTGCATCCTCAGCAAGGGGTATGTCGCAAGCCTCAATCTTTCTCCCCAAAGCAGAAGCATCTTGCTGCAGTCTTGAGATTTGGTGTTCCAGCCGCTGCAGCTGCTGCCGCCGCTGCAGCAGTGCTGCTGCAGCAAGAACGCCGGACACGCCGCGAGCAGCAGCAACAGAGATGTCCTGCAGCAGCGGCTCTTCCTCCTCCAGGAAGCCTTCAACTGCTGCTTCTGCAGCAGCAGCAGCAGCTCCTGCTGCACCTGCTGCTGCTGCGGCGTTGTTGCTGCCGGAGGCTTCAGCCTCACTTCCGTGCTGACGCTGCTGCTGCTGCTGCTGCTGCTGCAGCGGTGGCGGCGGCGTCGGGGACACTTGTGCTGCTGCTGCATCTCTCTCTGCAGCTTCAGCCTTTGGGTGGCCAGCAGGGGAGAGCTCGTCCTGCTGCTGCTGCTGCTGCTGCTGCTGCTGCTGCTGCTGCTGCTGCTGCTGCTGCTGCTTGAGCACTGCCTGTTCCCTGAGTCTCTTGAGAGCAGTTTCTGTCTCCGAAACAGTAGCAGCAGACAGCAGCAGCGCGTCGAGCAGCCGCAGGGCCTGCTGCGACGACAGCAGCAGCGTTTGCTGCAGCAGCAGCAGCAGCTGCTGGAACAGCAGCTCCAGCTCATCCGGCACTTCTTCAAGGATATCTTCTGGCTGCGGCTCTGCAGCAACAAACTGCAGCGCAGACGCGCCCTTTGCTTCCCCCTGCTGCTGCTGCTGCTGCTGCTGCTGCTGCTGCTGCTGCTCTCCAGGCGCAGCAGAAGGAGACACGGGCTCTTGCGGAGCACCGTGCTGCTGCTGCTGCTGCTGCTGCTGCTGCTGCTGCTGCTGCTGGCGGTGAATCAGCAAGGTGTGCTGCTGCACTCGCGTGAGGATAAGTGCCCTCAGCTGCGGCCGCTTCGCGATGGACCGAAGCAGCAGCTGCGGCGCTGCAGAACGAAACAGCACCTGCAGCAGCAGCAGCAGCAGCAGCAGCAGCAGCAGCAGCAGCAGCTATAAAGGTGCTGCAATGCAGTTTTGTCACTCTGAGCCCGGACCAGCTGCTTCTTACAATCTATACACTCCATCTTTCCCTTTCTCTAGGAACCCTAGACAGCAGCAGCAGCAGCCGCTGCTGCTGCTGCTAATGTTCCTGCTGCTGTTGCTGCCAATATTTCTGCTGTTGCTGCTGCTGCTGCTGCTGCTGCTGCTGCTGCTGCTGCTGCTGCTGCTGACTTCTGTAAAGCTGACCTCTGCAAAGCCAAAGTCGGGACTCAGAAACTTCTGGGGCAGCTGCAGCTCGCGCAGCAGCTGCTGCTCCTTCGAAATTTGCTGCGCGAAATCGCTGCCTGCCCGCTGCTGCTGCTGCTGCTGCTGCTGCGCTGTGGGGTTTGCTGCAGAAGAGCCGTTGCCTGCTGCTTCATGCTGCTGCTGCTGCTGCTGCTGCTCCACGTCACCCGACGGAAAGCGGGGAGCGTCTGAGTTGTCTGCAGCAACAAGAAAGTACCGCAGCAGCATTAAAGAGTGCTTCTACGAGTTTTGCTGCTGCTGCTGCTGCTGCTGCTGCTTCTGTTGCTGCTGTTGCTGCTTACCGTCGTGCTGCAGCAGGGTGGTCCAGATGTGAAGCACACGCTGCAGCTCGTCTGGAGACCTGACGTTTGCTGCTTGCTCCTCCAGCAGCAGCAGCAGCTGCTCTGCTGTCAGTCCTTCAAAAGCAGCAGCAGCAGCAGCAGCAGCATGCTCCGTGCCTCCCCCCAAAATCAGCAGCACATCTCGCGCGCGAGATAAAAGGGCTGTGCCCGACTGAACAGAAGAAGCTACCTGCAGCAGCAAACACCAGCCGCTGCAGCTCGCAAGTTGCAGTTCGCAAGCAGCAGCAGCAGCAGCAACAGCAGCAGAAGCAGCAGCAGCAGCAGCAGCAACAACAACAACAACAACAACAACAACAGCAAAAGCAACAGAACCAGCGAAGCACTCGACCAAGCAGCAGCAACAGCAGCAGCAGCTATGCATCCGAGCGGAAGAACAGCAAAAACAATGCTGACATGTACAGCAGGGCCATTTGTCGCAGCAGCAGCAGCAACAGCAGCAAAATGAGCAGCAGCAGCAGCAGCAACAGCAGCAAAATGACCAGCAGCAGCAGCACCTCATCTGCCTTCTTCTTAACCTTGCTAAAGGACTCCGTGATGCGGCCCCACATGTTTGGCAGCAGCAGCAGCAGCCCTGGGAGGGGCTCCGGCTAAATGCCTCTGCAGCTTGTCTGAGAAGCAGCAGCAGCAACAAGCAGCAGCAGCAGCAGCAGCAGCAAAATCGGCAGCAGGCAACGGAACGGCCTGCAGGCGGGTGGAGAGAAGAGTCGCAACACAGAAGGCAGCAGCACAGAGGCTGCATCAGGCTGCGCTAGGCGTTGAAGTGATGACTGCTGCTGCCGCTGTTGCTGCTGCTGCGGCTGCTGCTGCTGCTGCTGCTGTTGCTGCTGCTGCTGCTGCTGTTCCTGCTCATCCTGCGTGCCACCGCGCCCAGGCGAAGTGTGTGTCCTCTAAATGAAACTGGCAGAGCAACCTTCGTGGCTGCTGCTAGTTTTGTGGTTGCTGAGGTGTACGTACAGTGGAGCGCAGTCGAAACCGCCTCGGCAGCGCCGCCGGAGCAGCAGCAGCAAGCGGGTCGATTTGTGCGTTTCCAGCCTTTAATTCTTTCAGCAATTGAAGGAAAATAAAATTAAAATCCAAAAATAAGGATTTTAAGTCAAGAAGCCTCGCTTAACTCGCCTGGGCAAAGCCGACTAAGGACCAGGAGAGGCAGCAGCTGCTGCAGACAGCAGCAGCCCCGTGAGCTGTACGTACACTGGACCAGCAAAACTCCTCCAAATGTTAGATAGAAATTCAATTAAATGCAAAATAGCATTTTCGCATTTGTACGAATTCGCAATTTCGCTTTCTTTTCTGCGCAGCAGCTGCAGAAACTGCTGCTGCTGCTGCTGCTACTGCTCCTGCCGCTGCTGCTGCTGTTCCTGCTGCTGCGGCTGCAGTTGTGTCTGCTCGAGTACAGCTGCAAAAACAGCAGCAGCAACAGCAGCAGAAGCACCTGCTGCTGCTGCAGCAGCAGCAGGCAGCAGCTGCTGCTTATTTCTGCTTTGCTTCCGCTTCCGTTTGCTTCCTTGCGCTGCTCCGGGTGTCTAGACAGCTAGTCAAGTTGAATCCCTAATCTGCTCGCTTTGGAATTTCTTTTCCAGATCAATTTCTGTGGCTGCAAAGGCCCTTTAAAACAAATAAATAAATAAATAAATAAATAAATAAATAAATAAATAAATAAATAAATAAATAATTTTTTTTTATTTTCAAAATGCACAAATATGCTTTTCATAAACCCCAGTTGCCCTCTGCTGCTTCGGACGAAACACCTAGCAGTGCTGTTTCAGCAGCAGCAACCGCGGCAAAAGCAGCAGCAGCAGCAACAACGGCAGCAGCAGCAGCAGCAACAGCAGCAGCAGCAACAGCAGCAGCAGCAACAGCAGCAGCTCGCCCAGCCAAAGGAAACTTCTTGTCAATTCTTTCTATTCGCCACACCAAACTAAAAAACCGCACAAGTCCAGCCTAGTCAGGCAGCTAGCCAGGCACCTCGTTGGCTAGCTAGCTAGCTAGCTAGCTAGCCAGCTAGCTAGCCAGCTAGTTGGCTAGCTATCCAGCTAGCTGGCTAGCTAGCCAGCTAGGCAGCTAGACAGCTGGCTAGCCATCAGCAGATGCTTGAAAAGGCAGCTAGCTAGGTAGCTAGCTAGCCAGCTAGCTAGCTACCTAGCTAGCCACCAGCAGCTGCTTGAGCAGGCAGGCCCAGGCCAGGCTGCAAGCGAGCTAGCCGTACGCCGTGTCCCCGGGCCCGTGTCTGCTGCTATTGCTGCTGCTGCTGCCGCTGCTGCTGCTGCCGCTGCTGCTGCTGCCGCTGCTGCTGTTGCTGCCGCCGCTGCTGCTGCTGCTGCTGCTGCTGCTGCCGCTGCTGCTGCTGCTGCTGCTGCTGCTGCTGCTGCTGCGTCCACCCGTCAGGTAGTTAGGAAGCAAAGCGAAAGAAAACCGTCAGTGAAGAAGCAGACAAAGAAAATGCATTTAAAGGATTAAATGGATTACTTGTGCTGCAGCAAATTAAATGGATTACTTGTGCTGCAGCAAATTAAATGGATTACTTGTGCTGCAGCAAAAGGCGCTGTTGAATTCACAAATAGAATTCCAGAAAACATAAATGCGCATTTGCGTGTCTGCATGCAGGGTTTACGTACACTGTGTTTGTTTCGCTTTTTACATAATTAATTGTATTTAATTAATTGCATTTTATTTTTTATTTTTAATATATTTTCATTAACTTCTGTGCGCGCATTTATACATATATACAAATACGCGTTATATATATATATATATATCTATATATATATATGTATATATATATATGTATATATATATGTATATTATGATATTTATATGTACACATATATATATCTATATTATGTATATATATATACACAATATATATATATATATATATATATATATATTGTATATATATATGTATATATATTCATAATATAATGTAATATGAAATATATTTGCAGTTAAATTTGTTTTTAGTTGCACAGTTGCATATGTACGAATGCGCATTTCTGTGTACATACAGCACATTTACTTGCATATATGTTTATTTGTAAATATATTTATTCTGCATAATAAATATAAATATATATTTTGGCATTTTTGGTTTTTAAGAATCCAAACTGAATATAAATATATATTTTGGCATTTTGGGTTTTTAAGAATCCAAACTTCCACAGATACAAAACGCATGCTGCATGCATTTATAAATATATATATTTATCCATATTTGGTTTACATAAGCCACTGATTAATGCACTTTCCGAAAATTTCGAAAACATGTAAACTTGCATGCATGCATCCATGCATGCAAATGCCATTTGCATGCATGCATGCATGCATGCATGCATGCATGCATGCACTCGCGGTGTCTGTACACTCCAGCGCATGCGGCCAAGTCAGTTCTCATTCATCGAATTGGCATTTTTCGGATTTTTTTTGAATTTCACATTTTAAATGGATAAATAGAATAATCAAGCATTCTCCTGCTGCAGCAGCAGCTGCAGCAGCAGCTGCAGCAGCAGCAGCAGCAGCAGCAGCAGCATTTAGTTCGAGAAATGGCATTCTTAGATCCGCTGCAGCGGGGTAATCCCAAGAATAAAGAAAGCAGTTTCCAGCACTTTCCGCGTGGCTTCGCACAGCAGCAAACGACTTTGCTGCGTCTCTTCTTCAGAATCCAAAACTTTCAAATTCATATAAAAGTCCGAAAACAAACAAGTGGTTTTGTAGACAAACTCCGCCAGCCTGCAGCCACCCACACGCAACGCGACCCCACACTTGCTGCTGCTGCTGCTGCTGCTGCTGCTGCTGCGGCTGCGGCGGTGGCCGCGGCCCCTGCTGCTGCTGCTGCTGCAGCAGCAGCAGCGGCTGCGGCGGTGCTGCTGCAGCTGTGCTGCTGCGGGCAGGGCTGCACCTGTTACTTCTAGTGCTACTGCTGCCGCTGCAGCTGTACTTTCTGCTGCTCTTGCTGCTGCTGCTGCTGCTGCTGCAACTGCTTGCCTGTGCAGCAGCAGGTCATCCAAAATGCCAAAGACAACATCAGGAAACTGCAGCAGCAAAAAGGCCAGCTGCCGCTCGCTGGGCTCTTTGATTTTTAAAGCGCCTGAGGCAAAAAGAAAAAAGAAAAAAATTAAAAAAAACTAAAAGGAGTTTTAACAAACTGCAGCAGCAAACGAGCTCCTGCTTGCGCCAGCTGAAGCAGCAACAGCAGAAACAGCAGCAAGAGCAGCAGCAGCAAAAGCAACAGCAACACGAGCAGCAGCAGCAAGAGCAGCAGCAACAACAGCAGCAGCAGCAAAAGCACTAGCAGCAAAAACAGCAGCAGCAAGAGCAGCAGCAGCAAGAGCAGCAGCAGCAGCAGCAGCAGCAGCAGCAGCAGCAGCAGCAGCAGCACTTGGTGGTAGGGTTTTGGGGTCGACCCCCGCCTTTCTGAAGATGGCGCAAATCCTCGCATAGGCGTAGAGTAGATACACCGCAGTATTCCCTGAACATTTCATCAGCAGCAAAAAGTAAAAGAAGTTCGCAGCAGCAGCAGCAGCAGCAGCAGCAGCAAAAGCAGCAGCAGCAGAGCGCTTTAGGGATTCAATGCGCATGCAGCCTCTTTAAGTTGCAGCACTATTGAGCGTTGAGTTTATCTTTGCTCTTATCTCTTTAAAAGTGTTTTAAAGGCCCTTTTAAAATTGATAAGCGTTAGAGATGTACATAAACCCCAAACCCTAAACCCTAAACCCTAAACCCTTCAAACAGCGAAGCTTAAAAGAGCTGCTGCGGCGCTGACGGGTGTTTGCAGCTAGCCGCGTGAGAGCCAGACAGCCTCGGCCTTCTTTAACCCTAAATTAGGGTTTAAACCCCCAATTTGGGTTTAAACTTTACATGAGGGTTTAAACCTTAAGTTAGGGTTTAGGCCCTAAAAATGCGTTAAAACCCTAAATTAGGGTTTAAACCCTAAACTAGGGTTTACGCACCCCGCGAGTCCAGCATGCGGTCGTAAGAAAACTGGTAATCGGTGGTTCTGTTTTGCTTCAAGTCGAAATACTTCACTGCGGAATACCCCAGCACCTGCGCCCTCTTATCTAGATCAGCAGCAGCAGCAGCAGCAGCAGCAGCAGCAGCAGCAGCAGCGTCGTCTGCTGCTGCTTCTGCTGCAGCACACACAAACGGAAAGCCGGAAGGCAGCAGCTGGCAGCTCAAGCAAACTCTAAACCACAAACCCTCATTTCCAAACCCTAAACCCTGCAGGGTTTCAGCGAAAAGGCCTCTGCGCTGCTCAACAGCAGCAGCAGCAGCAGCAGCAGCAGCAGCAGCAGCAGCAGTAGTAGTAGTAATAGTAGCTTCTCTACGTATAGCGATAACCTTGAGAAAACCTAAGTTCTAAACCCTAAACCCTAAACCCTAAGCTCTAGGCTCTCGTAAGCAGCAGAAGGCTGGCCCCAGCGGCAGCAAAGAAAAACAGATAAAGAAGAAATTCCTTAAGCCATAAACCCTAAACCCTAAACCCTAACCCTCTGCGCCCCCAAAACCGCTCCCCAGCCCGTCCAAACCCTCGCCGTCCCGTGCACCAACCCAAACCCTAAACCCTAAACCCCACGTCCCAAACCCTAAACCCCAAACCCTAAACCCTAAACCCCAAACCCCAAACCCTAAACCCCAAACCCCAAACCCCAAACCCTAAACCCCAAACCCTAAACCCCAAACCCCAAACTCTAAACCCCAAACCCTAAACCCTAAACCCCAAACCCTAAACCCTAAACCCTAAACCCTAAACCCTACCCTGTTCCTCCGCGGCGCGGCGCTGCAGCTCCTCCTTGGCCCTGGAAACTGCCTCATCCAGCAAATCGACAAGTCTCACAACTTCTCCACTTCGGGTTTTGAATTTCTTTCCGTCGAAACCCTGAACCACTCCGAAACCCGCGAAGCAGCAGCGCTGCGGGCCCGGAGTGTACCACCCTAAGGCGCAAACCCTAAACCCTAAACCCTAAACCCTAAACCCCAACCCCTGCACCCTAAGCCCGGAACCCGGAACGCGCAACACAGCCTCAAACGCAGGCCCGTAACCCTAGACCCTAAACCCTGAGCTTTACACTGTTATGCTAGCCTGAGACATAAACCCTAAACCCTAAACCCTGCTAAACCCTAAACCCTAAACCCTTGACACTAAACCCTAGAGCTCCAGTTCGGAGCCTGAAAACTGCACGCGAGCCGAAACCGCCCCGCTTTGCAGGCACGAAGGAATGCACGCGAAACACTGACCAATCGAGGGTTTAGGGTTTAGGGTTTAGGGTTTAGGGTTTGGCACACCTGCCATTTTGGCGGCTTCGAAGAGTTTCATGAAATGCTCTTCTTGGCCCATATCGGTCACGTAGATGAGCCAGTCATTCTTGCAAGTTACCAGTCTAGAAAGCAAAGAAGCAAATAAAACAAATAAAAATAAATAAAAGTAAATAAAAATAATAAATAAACAATAAATAAATAATAAATAAATAATAAATGCGAGATTATAGAAAGAAAAATCAAAGAAAGACGCGGCGGGAACTGGAAAACCCTAAAACGGTGTTTCGTGAACTTGCACTTGTTCATTTCCAGATTTGACTCGGCTAAAAGAAATTAAATTCAAAAACCCTTTTTTAAAATGTTTTTGAATTTAATTTATTTTAATTGAATTAATTTCATGAAGTTCATCAAGTTTGCCAACTGGACTTGGCCTCTAAATCATTTTCATTTCAAGTTTTCTTGAATTCATGGAAAGCACCATTTCAGAAACTTTTCCTTTTTAAATTTGATTACAAACATTTTAATTTAAAATATTTTATATTCTAAAATTTTCCCCAAGAAATCGAATGAAAACACACACAAAACCAGCAGCAGCAGCAGCAGCAGCAGCAGCAGCAGCAGCAGCAGCAAGAGCAGCAGCAACGAGAGCAGCGATAGCAAAAGCAGCACCAGCAACATCAGAAGTAGCAGCAGCAGCAGCAAGAGCAGCATTAGCAACAGCAAGAGCAGCAGCAGCAGCAGCAAGAGCAGCATTAGCAACAGCAAGAGCAGCAGAAGCAGCAGCAGCAGCAGCAGCAGCAGCAGCAAAGACCAAAAGTACAACAACCCCACCTGTGTCGAATGGCAGCCAAGTCTGTGGAGTCATAGCCATAACCCCCATCTCTCTTTACAGCCATTAGCGGCACAGGATTTGCTGCTGTGAAGAGACACAAAGCTCCGTCGCTCTCCTGCAGCAAGCTGCAGCAGCAGCAGCAGCGCAGCAGCAGCAGACGAACCAGCTGCAGCAGCAGCAGCAAGAGCCGCAGACGCAGCAGCAGCCGCAAGCGTTGCTGCTTGCTTTTTGTCTTTCAATTCTTAAACACAAGCACGAGTGCAGCAGCAGCAGCAGCAGGAGTTGCTGCTTCCTGTCCGTCTTTCAACTCTTGAATAACAGCACCACTGCAGCAGCAGCAGCAGCAGCAGCAGCAGCAGCAGCAGCAGCTTACTT